AGCGGTACGGATGCATCCGAGCCCTCAGCATGCAGCCGCCGAGGTCCATTTGTCAGCACGTCCTTCGCTGTCAGGGAGGAGAGGCCTCCCCTGATGGGGATGCGGCTCATTAGCGCGCGAGACAGCGGCGCGGGCCCATGGACCCCGGCCCTGCCAAACCAGGGTGGGATGCTCCGTCTGTCCCCAGGGCCGGTCAAGGTGACCCCTGCTTCAGGGGGGGTCGGGCCCCACAGCATGGGGGGGGGACAGGCAGGGGAAGACGTGCCCAGGCTGGCGATGTCCTGCACCCCATGGCATCCCTGGCACCCCCACCCACCCACACCCTCCCCGCACGAGAACCCGGCTCCAGCCAAGCCTGGATGCCGCTGCTGTGCCCTTGCCGAGAGCCTCAAGCCCTGCCCGAACGCTCAGGCTGAATTTTGTGATGACCTTGGCCAGTCTCCTCCCCTTCCTAGGCTGCAGCTTTGCTTTTTTAAAACTCATTAAACAAAACTTGTAGCACTGGCAGTTTCCTACACCCAGCTTAACCATGGGCTCTGGTGACGGTGGCAGAGAAGGGGTCCCCAGAGAAGAGCTCAGAGCTGGCAAATCCCTGTCTTGTCCCCACCCCATGTCCCTGTTCTCCCTCCTCCATACAAGTAACGAGGAGGAGGAAACCACCGATCCCAGCCTCCGTCTCTGTAATAAAAGGATTATTCAGGCAAGGGGAGGAGAAAGCCCCAAAGCCGGCCGCACAATCTCCTTCCCTTATGACTTAGGCTTTTTTTTCTTAAAAGTTATTAAAACCCAGCAATATTTCTAATTTGCATTTGTCGGAAGCATGGGATGAACCTGCAGGCAGACAGACAGACAGATGGAGGGACACACAGCTCACCCAGGAAGGCAGAGGGGGAGACTGTGCCGTTGCTCCTGGCCACCATGACACTGATGCCCGTCTCCACGAAGGGCACGGAGAAGTCCACAATCTCAGAGCGCTCCTCGTTGATGGTGAGGGAGCCGATGGCCATGTCCGCGCGCTTGTAGTACACCTGGGGAAGGGGCAGATGGTCTCGGGATGGGCAGATGGACAGGCAGAGGGACCCAGACCACTTTCCCCAGGCATTTCCTCATCTCCTGCATTTCCAACCTTGACTTTTGTCCTTTTTTTAAAAAAATATTAGCTACTTAAATGGCCAGTGACACAAACACAACCAGTTGTGGGGTCATAAATGTTCAGCTGACTCCCTCCCCGTTCTTGTCCACCAAGCCTTGCCCGTAAGCTCATGCCAAGCTGTCCCCTGCCCAGAGTCCCACTGCAGACACCCTGACCCCGTCCCCGGCAGGAAAGCCCCAGGTCACAGCATGCCCCGAGCGAGCGGTGTCCCCAGGGAGGGCCAAAGGTGGGGTTCGAGCTGTGCCCACCCCCTACCTCACCAATCATGCCGTTCCAGACCCCACGGACGATCTTGCCGTGTTTGCCATTGGTCACTAGGTAGAGGTCGTAGGAGAACTTCACTGCCTTGGCCAGCTTCTTCAGGATGTCAATGCAGAAGCCCTTGCAGCACAGCTTAGTGTAGGGATCCACAAGGCCATCGCCACTGAAACCACACCGGGAAAAACGGGTTGGACCAAAGATGCTCTGAGAGCCCTGGTGCCCCTGGACACCACATGCCTGGGGAGTGGTGGTCAAAATTGCTGAGCTCCATCCTTGCTGCTCACCTCTGCGAGGAGTTGGTCTGCTTGCGGCAGGGCACGGTGTTGCGCACGCAGACCCCAGTGCTGGGGTCTGTGTTCTCCACGATGACAAAGGGTCTCTCCTCCAGCGTGGCCACTGTCAGGTGGCGGTTATCGGCCACGGGCTGCAGGAAGGAGCCGTAGCGGGGCCACACCGGGTACTTCATGTGGATGATGCCTTTCTCCCACTTGCCCACCTGCCCCCAAGGAAGAGAGCACTGTCACCCCAGCGAGGGCTCTGGGGGTCACGTGGGGTCCCATGCCCATCCTCCCCATACCCCCCAGAGCACTGTTAGGCTGGAGATCAGCCATGGTGAGACCCATCTCAGCATCCCTTTCCCCACGCACCCACCGACCATGGGGCAAGGTGTTTCCTCCTGGGCCCCAAGCACCAGGCTTGGGTGAGCACAAACCTGGCCAAACTTCACCCAAAATACTTTTAAACTAGAACCCACCCCACTCCGTGCAGCTTGTTTCAGATCTAGGTGTTTGGCTGCTGTTCTCCAGAGGTGGGCAGCTGCATTTTTGCATCTTTTGAAACTTTTCAGCCAAATTGCAGGTTAAAAAAACCCAGTTCCTGGCAGAGCTTTGGTGCCTGGTGTTGCTGCCAAGCGCCACCGCACCTCTATGGGTACTTTGGTACCAGTCATGGGTTTTGCATGGGACAACCTGCCCCAGGGTGGGACCTCAGCCTGTGCATGGCCCCGGGCCTGCCAGGCCATAACCCGGTGTGCCCATTCTGGGTGGTTTGGGGGTCCTACCATCTCCCAGAGCCGGTGCTGGTTGAGTGAGATCACCACCATGGTGGGCCTGACCAGGTAGCCGCCTTCATTGAAGGAGAAGTCCCTGTGCTCCCATGTCACATTGAGGAGGTGCCTGGTGGGACACAGCGCCTGTAAGACCCTGGCTGTGCAGCCCAGCCCCATACAGCCCTCCTCTTCCTCCTCCAGGTCCAGCTGGGCTGCCACAGGTCCCACGGAGAGACATGGGGCTGAGAGCTGGAGACCAGGTTTAGCTCCTATGCAAGGGGCAGTGGGGAGCTGGAGAAAGCCCTGCCAGCAAGGAGGCACCAAGGATGGACTACTGCAGCGTTGCGGATGTACAGACTGCCATGGCAGCCCTGTGGTGCCACATCTGCACTGTAAAGCAGAGCTGTGAAACCCACCCTGAGACCCCCATGAGTCCCAGGTTGCAGAGAAGTACAGGAAAAGGCAAGGGCTGCTCTGGGGATACACTCCAGGAGAAACCCAGCCAAAAGGCATGGACCACCAGCTGCAGCCCACAACGAACATCATACTCCCCTGCCCTTTCTCTCTCTGTTTCCCCATTCCCCCCATTTCACATCCATCCCAGTGGGTCCCCGAGCCTCACCGGTAGAAGCTGGTGTTGGCAGTGGTGGCCCCAGCAGGGGCCTGGCAGTCCAGTCCCACCTCCGGGAGGTAGCCGTGGGCCCGGAAGAAGCTGGCCGCTCCCATGGCAATGATGGCCACCCCATCCCGCACCTTCTGCCGCAGGCTCAGCTTCCAGCTCTCCGTCACCACACTGATGAGGCCGACAGGGAAGGAGGCAGGTGGAACCTCCATGTTGCCCACTGTCAGGCTGGGCACAATCCAGACGTAGCCCGGCCCCACGAGGCCAGCTTGTTCTGCCATGGCAAAGAGGTGCTCAGCCTCATCCCGCGAGCAGTAGACGATGATGACCTGGGCATCGATCTGCCGCAGGAGCCGCTGCGTCCTGGAGCTGCTCCGCTCCTGGCTCATCTCAAAGGTGAGCACCTCCTGCAGCTCCCAGCCAAAGTAGCTGGCGTCCGTGAAGGAGCGGATGACGTCCAGGAAGATGTTGTAGCCCGGGTAGAGGCTGGTGATGACAGCGAAGGAGCCCCAGTCGTATTCCTCCAACACCTTGAAGATCACCTGGATTTGCTGCTCGATGGAGACACCCAACTGCAGGAAAGTTGAGCCAGGGTCCTGAGGGAGGAGAAGGGGTCAGGGGCTGCTCTGGCACCATGGTCCAAGTCTCTTGCACTTGTGCAAATCACCTTAAATTTGCCATCATGAAGGGTTCGAGGGAGCCATGAACTGGCTTGGTCCATGGGCTGGAGACACCCAAGATGGGACCGATCCACTGGTGGTCTCCAAAGAACCTCAACCTATGCAAAGGGTCAAACCCTGTGGCCTCTCCTCCGTTTCTCAGCTTGTTGACCAAAAATTCATCCATCCTCCAAAGGAAACCAACAATTTCTCCTTAAACCAGGAGAGGGAGGGGCGCAAGGGCTCTGATAGTACTGTAAATCCCATCCTGCCTCCGAATTCCAACCTGATGCCGGAGCTTGCATGGCTCCTTCCCTCCCGCCCCACCTCCCCGGCCATCTGGCCTCTCATTAGCAAACCTTAATTGATCTGATTCTGTCTTAAATGATTCAACGAAAGGCATTTGCAGAAGGTCGCGTGCAGGCAGCACAGTTTTGCCACCCAGACTCCCTCCACCTCCAGAGAAGTAGTTTTTCCAATGAGGCTGGTGGTCCGGCCAGAGGGGTAAGCCCTGGGGAGTCCCAGACAGGGAGTGGGAGCTGTCAGGGACCTTGGACCTGTGGGAGGCGGAGGAGGAGGTCGAGCCTTCAGACAGGTCCCTCCACCGCCCCCAAAATACCCAACCCCTTGAGAAAGCTGCAGAAAAACACCCAGACCACAGCAAAGCCATGGCTAGTTTTTAGTTGCTCAGGGCTCCACTCGACTCCATTGCACCCACCCAAGCCCTCTGCACCCACCCAAGTCCGTTGCACCCACCCAAGCCCACTGCACCCACCTGAGCCCACTGCACCCACTGCCACCCACCCACAGTGAGCAGCAGCTTGGGGTGGTCTGGGAGCACCAGTCGGTGCAGGCAGGGCTGCCAAGGTGCCATGCAGGGGGTTTAGACCACTAAACTTTTGGGCAAGCAGAGCATGAAACCAGTGCCCAGAGGAGCAGCAGGGTCTCCACCCTGGGGGCTGCTGCCATGGGAAGGAGCCAGTGCCAGGCCCCCTCCGGTGCCCCAGGCCGGGCAGGGTGAGATGAGCAGCCAGGAGGAGATAACCCAAATCTCCTCCTTGTGAGGGACGGGAGCCTCACCACAGCCCATCGCTGCCCGCCCAGCACCCTCCAGCCCGGCTCCAGCTCTCCTTGCCGCCAACGCTTCCCAGCAGGCAGGTGACAGTGACAGTGTCTGACGCCAGTGAGGAACAAAGAAGCCAAAAACCGTGTTTTGGCCCCTGGTGCACCTGAGATCGCTGCTGCAGCTGAGCGAGGCTTCTCCATGCTGCTTGCTCAGCCATTTCAGGGCTGGATCCAGCCCCGGCGGGGCCGGGGGGGAAGGACCTGCCAACCCTGACACTGCCCTGGCAGCCCCAGCACCATGAACCCAGCACCCCGTGGTG